GTCTAAGAGATAGGTCAGAAGTCAGTGCTGGGAAGCGGTGAGCCGGCAGCAGTGACACTCTGTTTCCTTTCAAGGCCACCCATTTGAGACTATTAAGTGCCGGGCTCCTGCTTTTTGATAGCCCCGAAAACACAGGCAGTTTATTTCTCTTAAACAATCAATCACAGCTGCTGTCAGCACAACAAATACCCTAACCCTGCTTTTTACATCTTGCCATGGCCTTTCTCTTCTCTCCTCTGCAAAGTGTTTCCTGCCTGATGCGTTGGACTTTAACTCTGCCATCTAAATAGGTACTTATCACTTAACATGGAGGTGATAGCTTGACATGTTTTCTGTCTCCTGCCCTCCCCTGCACGGTGGGGAAGCAGTCAAAGTGTTGCTAATAGCTGTTATCACTTGGGAACTGTAACCCGAATGCAATGAGTGATACCAGCCATCACTGTGCTTTTATAACTGCACCAGTGGTAGCAGCATTCCAAGACATGAACACCAGTATCTTTTATTCTCTGATGCCGTCTCTTTTGTGAGTTTGTGGATCTGGTTTCCGGAAGATCACAAGAGCATTCAGTAGATAAATGCTTAATAACACAAACAAATGTAAAGTGTATGAATGTTGGCTATTTGATTCTTTGTGTTACAGCATAAGCCAATACTCTACTTTCTGTGCCTGAAAGGTTGCTGATGAAAGAAAATATATGCTCAGGCTTACATGTTGCTATATGAGGGCCACATTTAACTTTGCTCTTAATAGCAGCCCCTACCTCAGCATTATGTGTTCTGATTGGAAGAGTTCATGGTTCCAAGGCAAAATTCTGGGGACTGAACTTGGGATGCTTTGCCTGCAATGGATATGTTTTCTTGCTGAATCTCAGTGCTTCATCAGTAGGAAGGTCCATCTAGTTCAGTGGTTCCCAACCTTTGGTCCTCCAGATCCCACAATTCCCAACAACTGGTAAGCTGGCTGGGATTTCTGGGACTTGAAATCCAAAACAACAGGAGGACCAAAGATTGGGAATCACTTATCTAGTTCTATACTCTCTAATCTGACTGACAGTAGGTCATTTACAAGTGGAGATGCCAAGGTTTGAATGTGGAATCTTGTGCACAAAAGGCATCTGCTTTGCTGCTGAGATACAGAACTTTCCTGAAGCTTAAAGAAGATGTCACTTGTTCCTTTTTTCACTCAGGGAAGTCAGACTTACACCTCATCTAGAGTAGACAGAGAATTTATCATCCATTCTATTTCTTGTGAATTTTCAAGTGTGTGGTACTTTAAGAATAAGGCTTGGGTAAAAAAAAAACAATGAACAAAAGAAAGTTCTGATTCTAAATCAATTTACTTGGAAATAAGGCTCATTGATTTCAATAAAGTTTACTTCCACTAAAGTATATTTAGGATCAAAGCTTTTGTTGACATATTTCCAGACTTAATTACATTTACTCAATCTCCTTCCCAATATCTTCTCCCACATGAATACCAGCCCCAAGTGCTGACATATTTCAAATACACATGGACAGTTCCTTGGTTTCCCTTGTCCCCTGCAGACACAATGAGAAGAATTAATTATTAATCTTTTGTCGTCTATCACTTACAGAGATGAAGCCCTGAGGTGTTTTGTGATTTCCCCAAGGTCATCATAGAAATATATGGCAAATCTGTTACTGAGAATTCAGGACTATAGACCATGGAAACTAGGTATGAAACACTTTTCCCAGCTTATACTGAGAGAAAATCAGAATGGACTGTAATGTCTAGAATGAGATATCTAGAAGAAATTTGAACAAACACTTTCTCCTCAGAGGACTTGAATAATCAGACCATCAGAGGCAGGAATGTAGTACTAAAACTGGAGGTCTCGTGGAAAACCACAGAGTATAAGCTATATTCAGCTAACAATCAGACTGGAAATCTCAGTTGACGTCGCCAAAATTAGTGTTAATTAAAAGATCTGATCAAACATTCACCAGTTCAGATAAGAATTTGAATGTGTGAAAATGTACTACAAAGACAGCCTCACCTACTTCACATACACCATGTTGACTAATTGCAACTCTATTTCTGTTTCTAGAAACACAATTATTACTTTGATACATCAAGGGTGGATAACTTGGTGTCCCATTAAGATATGGATTGAAATTAGTTGATGCAGGGAAGATTAACGATGCTTACTTTTTATGATAGAAGTAGAAAGAAGAAAGAGAAAGTATAACGCAATAGTAGAAAACTTTGCCCCATGTCACTAATCCCAGAGAGACTTAATGCCTGGCTTTCTGGAGTGTAACAACTAGCCAGAATAGTAAAAACTGTTGCTTGCTTCCTCCTCTCTCTTGAGAAGAAGCACCATGGCAAGGTGAAAGCAACAATGGAAGTGAACAGGACAGAGGAATCTGGCCCTCAAAAGGAAGAAATTATGAGGATTCAAATCTCTGTCAGACAGCAAATAATTGGACCAATGGGATTGCTGGCAATTCTTATAGCTTTCAATGGGGACACTGTGGAGTGATGAGGAAGGGAGCCTTTCTCATCAAATGTAAGATGCATTTGTAGGAATTATTTGATCTTTAACAAAAATCCTACATTCAGTAAACAAAAATAAATACATTTTACATAAATGAAACTGCATTGTTTCCATTTAAATTAGATTTTAATTGCCATATTTTTACATCTTTTAATTTTCAGTTTACAAAACAAATTATGGGTGCAATTGCCACCATCCTTCAACTGGAACAGTGTATTATATATGATAAAATGTCTATGAGGCTACATGGAACTTCAATACAGTGGACCAGAGCCATATGAGTGTGTGGTATATGGGCACATGCTTACATAACAGGCATGGGCAAACTGAGGCCTGGGAGCTGGATGAGGCCCCCTAGGCACTTACCTCAGGCCTCCTCATTTTCCCTGTCCTAATGCTAAAAAGATGGGAGAGGAAGGCATGTAGCGGCTGAGAGCCCTCTGGAGCACTCTCAGCCACGGTGTGTTTCAGTCTCCTCCCAGCATAAGGACAGTGTGAGCGACCCCATCCTTATGCTGGGAAGATGGCTCGAGGAAGGCACACAGTGGCTGAGAGGCCTCCGGAGCAATAGTCAGCCACCGCCTATCTTGCCCTCTCCAGGCATAATGCCAAGAGGACAGCCTGAAGATCAGGGGAGGAGGATAGAAAGGAGGATCAGGGCAGTCGCTGTGTGTCTCGCTTTCCTTCCAGCATAAGGATGGGACAAGCAGTCCCATTCTTATGCTGAGAGGGCAACCTGAGGATGGCCAGGGCCCTTTCCTGGGCCCTCCCCACCCAGCGTGTGCCTGGCCCCCCTCCTGGCCCAGTTCCACTGAGTCCTATGCAATCACTCTGCACGTGTTTGCAGCTGAACATGTGATAAGAGGCTGGATCATGCTCTACAATCCTAGCTTATGGTTTCAAGGAAATACCTGAAACATAGTCTAATCCTCAGATACACAATTCTGAAATCAAACAAGATACAAATGGCATTTGGTCTAGTGAGCATTTCTGGCCATCAAAGCTCGGTTCTTTCTCTTTTGTCTCTTCCCTATTTAATATTTATACATGTGCTGCATCCTAAATAAATTGTGTCCTGAATCGTAAGTGCAAACATTTATTTAATTCAAGATAAATGGGGAAGGATCACCCCAAATTTGAAAATTAACATCTAAATTATGTATACCAGAATACAATCTATAACTTAAGCAATTTGCTTGGTTTTCCTTGCTCAGTTTTAATTTTTTCTATTTTTTTCTCAATCGTTTGGAAGAAACTATTAAGAACTCCAACACTTTTTGTAACACACAATCTAGGTCTTCAGGCAAGTGCCACTTGAGAATAACAATTCTGAAACTAAGTGGCTGAGAAAAGAATTTGAAAGATTTCTCCCTTTAATGTTCTTGGGTAGAGGGTAGGCAGGGAGGGGGGAATTCATGTGGTACCAGTGAGTGATCTCGTTACACAGGACCCCTCAACTATCCTCCCTTAATCCCCCTCACTCAAAGCAAATGGGATTCTTTGTTGCTTGAAGATTCAAAGGCCCATCCCTGCTGGGAGAAAAAGCCTTCTTTTGGTTATCTGGTGACTGTTCCTAACTTGCTGTATTTACCTCCACATAGCTAATCTGCCTATTGAACTCCTCATCAGGCTTGGTGTTTGGGACAGATGAGTTATCTGCATCCAGCAATGAGCACAGGAAAAATGTGCGAGACAAGGACTGCTCTTTAAGCTGCTCTTGCCCTTTTCGACTCCCTTCTGAGGCACAAAAGAAAGTGTGAAGATTTTTGATTTTTAATTGATGTGTTCCTTTTTTCCCAGACTTCCATGCTTGCTTCTGTTATGTGTGTTTGTTTCTAGGATCAGAAGTATCAGCTCTTGATCTGCCAGAGCAGCAATAAGATAGTACAGGGCACTGCACAAAGCACACAGTACACTGATATACACATCACTAGAAGCTCATGAAAGGCTGAGTTTTCTACTTGGACCTGTTTTGACCATGAAGTACTCCTCTGCTGAGGAATTGTGGCTGGTTTTTGTGCACATTCATAGGGAAGTACTCATTCTAAAGCTGAGCTAGGAAAGAAAAACCCTTTTGAACTAAAGTACCCAAAATCAAAGCACGGCCAGTGCCATACTGGGTGCTGAAACAGTAAGTTGCTGTTTGAAAAAAGTAATTTTCCCCAGCAATTTTCTATCCCCAACTCACAAAAGAGTAAGAGCCAACAGAACTGCTGCAAGCATGCTCTGACATTACACCAACTTATGAACCTGAAATCACACAACAGGATGTTGAGAATTTAGAAGCTTTCATTTTCTTACCTGAGGGAGTCATTTGGAAAAGTGTCATTTGGAAAATCTTTTAAGATCATTGAATTCATTAAGCAATAGGTTCTAAGCACATCCATTGAGTGGCTCTGTATGTGTGTAAACTAGGTCAAAGAATTAATGTTTGCAGGGATAAGGAAATTAACAAAATATGACTGAATTTGGTTGACTTACCTTGGGAGTGCCTGGAGCCATGACATCCTTCAATATAGAGTTCTTACTGCCAAGAGAAAGAAAAGAAAGTGTCAATATGCCTATGAATATGTGCAAAAATACATCCTAAAAGAGAGCCTTTGTATACTTTGTAAAATAACTTACCAAGCCACCATTAAGGTACTGCTGGGTCATCCTGGAGCATAAAATGATGTGTCCTGGGCACATAATTTCTATGCACCAGGAGGACTCCAGCAGTACCCTAATGGCAGCCTGGAAAGTTATTTCTTCTTTTAAGTTTTTTTTTTTGGGGGGGGAGGAGGGTTGGGTGGACCCATGCCCTATAATGCCATCTTGGACACCCCTCCCCCCGGTGTGAGGACTCAAATTCATGCCTAGGTGGGCGCTTTGGCGCAGATTTGACTGCTGTCTAGAAGTGCGCTCAGAGTAATAAATGACAGCAAACTGGCAGTCTATATCAGTGAGGTGCTCTTCTATGAAATCTGATGCCATATTTTTCTCCTCCTTCACAAAACTGATGATAATTGATGTGTACCTTCATGTGCATCTATGGGAATTATTTTTAAGGGGGCAGAATAACAGTGTACAGTGGCCGGTTGTTGTGAGACTTCAAGTCATTTCTGACTTATGGTGATCCTAATGTAGGTTTTTCTGTGGCTAAAAGTATGATTTGCCAAGGTCACTTAGTACACTGGTTCTCAGCCTCTGGGTCCCCAGGTGTTTTGGCCTGCAGCCAGTTTACCAGCTGTTAGGATTTCTTTTCTTTTCTTTCTCTGTGTCCTTTGTAACACTTCACAATATTTAAAATCCTACTCAGAAGAGCAGAAAATCCTGAGAATTTGAAAGTAGTTACAGAGAAGAATGCTACGTTCAAACTCACTAGGTTTCTAACAGAATTGCTTAGCGTAAGGGATTGAAAGGAGGAAAAAGCCTGAGGGAACAGACATAGAAACACAGTACAGCAGTCTCATGAATACCATAGTGGATATTTTTTGGCATCACTGCCCTTATCATAATATTGACAACTTTACATGGCTTGACAGGAAAAGGATCCCCGTGTCTCACGTTGATTTCCTTTCCTCTTGGGAACATGAGCAAACAGATTGTAGAGAGGAGCAGTGATGTCCAAGGGAGTTATTTTTGACCGAGGAAAAATAAGTTGCCACACTGGATAAGGATTTGGGGTTCTAGAGAAGCATCTGGACAGCGTTTTCTACAATATAAATTATCAGCCATTTGTATATTAAATAATATAAGTCTAACTAATATAACACAACTTTGCTCTAGCAAAAATTTAACTGTATAAAAAGATTTAAACTTTTCTTGGAATGGTATGTCTTGCATCTGGTTGTATATTCTGGACTATATCCAATAGTTATGGTAAATACACTGCTGAACTTCAACTGCTGAAGTAAAGCAACGCACACCAGAATGGAAATCCCATAGATTAAATGGTTATATCTGGGCTGAGACAAGCAAAGGGATGTGTTTCTTAAATTCTATGATAAAGGAACACTGTGGACCAAATGACCTTGGAGGTGTCTATGGACAACACTGGCTCTCTGGCTTGGAAATGGAGATGAGCACCCTACCCCCAGAGTCGGACATTAATAGACTTAATGTCAGGGGAAATCGTTACCTTTAACTTTTTGTTTTAGGGCCTTCATTCAAGCGCCAATCCATTACACTAAAATTCTAGATTTCTGAATATTATAAAAGAGTAACTATCAAGACCCACCTTACCAAAAATGGTTTTAACATCAACCAGTAAGTTCTTTTTCTGAAAAATGGGTGTATCAGTCTTTGTTAGGACTTTATTTATCAACTAAAAAACAATGAAATGCAGAAGCTGCCTTGTTGTTGTTCATTCGTTCAGTCGTCTCCGACTCTTCGTGACCTCATGGACCAGTCCACGCCAGAGCTCCCTGTCGGCCGTCACCACCCCTAGCTCCTTCAAGGTCAGTCCAGTCACTTCCAGGATGCCATCCAGCCATCTTGCCCTTGGTCGGCCCCTCTTCCTTTTACCTTCCACTTTCCCCAGCATAATTGTCTTCTCTAGGCTTTGCTGTCTCCTCATGATGTGGCCAAAGTACTTCAACTAGAGACTTTGGCCATGATGTGGCCAAAGTCTCTAGTATCCTTCCCTCCAATGAGCAGCCGGGCTTTATTTTCTGGAGGATGGACTGGTTGGATCTTCTCGCAGTCCAAGGCACTCTCAGCACTTTCCTCCAGCACCACAGCTCAAAAGCATCTATCTTCCTTTGCTCGGCCTTCCCTAAGGTCCAGCTCTCACATCCGTAGGTTACTACAGGGAATACCATGGCTTTGACTAGGCGGATCTTTGTTGCCACTGTGATGTCTCTACTCTTTACTATTTTATCGAGACTGGACATTGCTCTCCTCCCAAGAAGTAAGCGTCTTCTGATTTCCTGGCCACAGTCTGCATCTGCAGTAATCTTTGCACCTAGAAATACAAAGTCTGTCACGGCCTCCACATTTTCTCCCTCTATTTTCCAGTTCTAACTGAAAAATAGAGAAGCTGCCTAGTTGCTTACAAAACAGAAGAGCAGAACTGGGGCTGCCTATTTTGTGCCATACTTTGTTGCAAGAGTCAGAAATTTGGGTTAAAAACGATATCATCAGGAAACCTGTGGATTATGGCTTACTTGGGTACAGGCTTCCCTCACAGCAATTACCTTTCTAAATATAAATTGTTAACATTTCTTTGCAGTTCATGTCACGCATGAAACGTTCAAAAACCGAATGGGTTGCAGCCCTTGACGTGAATAAATACAGACTGTACAGAAATTAAAAACATTAGCACTCACACTAGATTGGGTCAGAAGAAGGGAAGTTGGAGGGGAAGAGAGACACATACCAACATAAAAATTACTCAAACGAGATAGGCCTTTCTCCAGGCTATAGGAATTCCTTGCTTTTTTTGGTTGGTTGATTTGTTAATTTCACTCCATTTCTATTTAACGGCTGAAAGGAGGTTCACACCAGGGTGATCCTCCCCCTTCCTGCCCTCCCTGGAGCAAGATGCTTCAGATTTAATAATGCCTTTCACCCTCACTCGAGACAGGTTAAATTTGAAACAATTACATATCAAAGGCGACGGGGCGGGGAGACCCCACACTGTAATTTTTTTGGTTATTAAAGTAATCTCTCTCATGTAAATCCTCTCGCTAACATGCCACAAACAACATTAGGAAATAAATGATTTCCCCATGATTTGATTTACTGATACAAAGCACCTGCAACAGGCAAAAATAAAGCTCTGAAATATGTTACCCAAGACGATATTTTGAGCTTGCAGGGCTCCCACAGCTGGAGGTCCCTCTCCATAGCCTTGGGGGAATGTATGTGTGATGGATGGATAGATGGATGGGTGAATAGATGGAGGGGAGAGTGGTTAGGGGAGGAGGAGGATGGTGCAGAAAGAAGGAATGGTACTTAATAATAAAATTTGTATGCAAGTCGGCATCCCAAGCTAGGGATGACTGATCGACAGCCAGAAAGTATTAAAAAGCCTTGCTAAACAGATGCTGACAATAGAACAAGACATATCAAATCAGATCTATTCCAGAAACATTAATACACACACACACACACACCTTCCCAATCACAGCAATATGGGAGACATCAATAAATTTTTATGAGACTTTTAGAAGATCAACATGCTACTGGATGTGACAAAAAAGCAATGTGGCTGTCATGTTCGCTTTGTCGGCGACACTTTAGCCCCAGATGTTGAGCTGTGGCAGCAGTGAGTAGAAATTGAATTTGGCTAGCTTTAATCTGCCTTTCATTGGCAGATGGCTTGGTGTTGCAAAATGAAGCAAGAAAGACTGCTTGGAAGGTGTTAGCTCCTAGAAATTGCAAACCTCCCAGGCAACCCCTGCTCCTTACAAAAACAAACAAACCAAAAACACAAGGCTTTTTTTGGGGGGGGGGGGTCATAGTCCCTGCCCCCCTTCCCAGGGCTATGTTCTCCATTCTCAATATAAGCCTCAATGTGATTAATGGTCAACAAGTGGACACTTGTACATTTTATAAGGAGGGAGGAAGCCAAAATTATCCAGTTGTGATCATGGTAGGGAAATGTCTGTTTGTATTAGAAACATTATAGATGGGAGGAACTGCTCAACTGCAAAGTTGTAGCATTTGGTGCCAGCTTTAGTAGTTTTGGTAAAAATGAAATTGATATCATAAGCAATTTTTAACATTTGCATTAGTCTGGACACAATATTACTTCATGCAGTTAGTCCCCTGCTCAGATATCCACAACACGCTTTGTAATAAACCAATTATTTTATTATGATATGGACATTGGAAAGAAAGGAAGAATTAGGAAAATATTCTAAACTGTACTGCAGTGGGGGGTTCCTTGTCTTTGATTCTATCCTAAGTGGGTGCCCTAGTGGCACAGTGGGTTAAACTGCTGAGCTACTGAACTTGCTAACCAAAAGGTCGCAGGTTTGACTCCAGGGAGCAGCGTGAGCTCTTGCTGTTAGCCACAGCTTCTGACAACCTAGCAGTTCAAAAACATGCAAATAGGTACCACTCCAGTGGAAAGGTAATGGCGCTCCATGCAGTCATGCCGCCCACATAACCTTGGAGGTGTCTACGGACAACACTGGCTCTTCAGCTTAGAAATGGAGATGAGCACCAATTCCCCTGGAATTAATGTCAGGGGAAAACCTTTACCTTTACCTATGTGGGTGCAATATAGAAATACTAACAGCATACCCCCAAACCTCTTAATTAGGGGTTATTCCAGATTAATTAATTTGGAGTATAAACATGTGATTCTATGCATTTACCTTCAGAACATTTAGACAGTCTTACTAGGTTAACCCAAGGGTCCATTCAACCCTCTATTCTCCCTAACAGCTTCACACATTGGTTGCTTCAGGGTTTTTTTTGTGTCAGGAGCAACTTGAGAAATTGCATGTCACTTCTGGTGTGAGAGAATTGGCCGTCGGCAAGGATGTTGCCTAGGGCACGCCTGGATTTATACCATCCTTGTGGGAGGCTTCTCTC